GTGTGAATGTGGTAATGTTAATCCCCAGGAATTGTGAAATGGGAATGAATGAGGGGGTGGCGTGATGATGTAGATGTTTTATCAGCACAGGGTGGGCAATGCTGTAATGTGGTTCTGCTCAAGGGCTCCCGATCACATAATCCCCCCCCCACTCCGCCGAGAAACAGCGTGCACTTGTTCGCCCAGGTATGCTGTTCTCACCGCTCGCCCTCCCTCCTTTTGCTCCAGCATAGAGTGCGACCCCTGCAACGGAGGGCGCTGCAAGCAAATGACGCCCATACTTGTTGTTCTTCATGGTCTAAGTGCCAGTTGTACCCTGACCTTCCGGACCATGTTGCAGACATCGTCAGTCGTCTAAAATGTCATTGAGCACATCTACACCTACAGCATGCACTTCTCAGAGGCAGAGCGGCGGTATAGCGAGTTGTACGTTCGGCCGGCGGCCTGACATGATAGCGCATCATGAGTGGGCCATGTGGGCCTCGCACAGCACCTCGGATCCTGCTGGGGGGGGGGGGGGGGGGGGGGGATGCGGAGCTTGTGGGTCGATTGTTAGAATGCTGCAATAGTATGATACTATAATCGCAAAGTAGTATCAACATTTTATAACAAAAAGAAGCGTTGTAAACATACAAGGATATAGGAACGGAATAATTTAATATATCAATACAACAATGTAGAATACAGTAATATGCAACAGGATGATATATTCATAATGCCAAAATATTACAGTATTTTAGAATATACAACCATACAACAATATATGAATAGTTAGATATTATCATATTACAGTATCACAACATGAGAATATCATACGAGTGCTATTGCAATTTTGAATATTATAATACGGCAACAACTTAAGACTTGAATATTCTCATATGATAGTACTATGACATTATCATATTCTGACACTTTGATACTATGATATGATGAAATTCAAACCTAGCAATATGACACTAGGCTTTAATCTACGACGATAAGAATAATTCTTACAAGAATATGTAATACAGAGGTTTAATCAAACAACAATATCATAGAAGAATAGAATAAGATGTTAAACATGGAAGAGCATAATAATAAAAGAGGATTTGAGTGCAATACATTAAAAAAACAGAACGGTATCAAAGTATACTTGGCACATGGTTGAGAACTCTTGCAACCCAGGAGCCAAGCCGAAATCTGGCAGCAAGAGGAGTTGCTTCGAACTTCCTCAGACGCAGATGCGCAGATAGCTGCCGCCAAGCACACCGTTGCTGCGCACCGATATGAGATGCAGCTGACACCACCTAGGACCTCTCTTCTGCTCGGATGGCTTTGGCGAGATCCTGATTCTGACCTCACTCCTGAGGCGAGATTGGGTCACTCTGTTTTCTCAAGCATTAGGGCGGGAACTCCAACCTGTAGGCGCTCCTCCAACGATTGCATCCCAAACTGCGTGAAGAGATATTCAAGAGGCCTGGTCGTGGTGCATCTTCCGGACTTTGAATACGATTCATGTGCAGCTGCATGATGGCCCAAATTGGCAGGCCACTCTTGAAGAAGTCTTTCGAAGAAGACATCAGAACTGTCTTCCAAGCCTATAAGAATCAGGCTTCAGTCGAGGAATTTAGAGAACTGGTGGACGGGACTCTCGGCCTGGTGTGTGTGTGCTTTCACCAGTCCACAAGTGAGTGAATGCTTCCAACTTGGATGTGGCACCATAATTTGATTTGAGGAACATCTCCGAGCTCAATCACCGGATCGAAGCTGAGGGTCCTCGACACATGCCACTTGACGCGCAGATGAGCTGTCAGGACTTTACTCGCAAACTTTGGTAGGGCCGGGGCCGTATACTGCTTGGAGAAGCGCGCATACGCGCACATGCACGCATACGCGCACGTGCACGCATAAGCGCATGCACGCACGCACATGCGTGTGCAAAGACCAGAAGAACCTCGCCGTGACCTGGCATTGAACCCGGGACGTCCGGCACCAAGACTGGCGCCTGCCAAGCAGACCATGTGGCCACAGGCTACCCAGGCACACAATGCCAAGTTTTGACGAGACTGGTCAAGGGGTTTCGTCTGGAAACGACGCGCGCAACGTTTGTGTGGTTCGCCTTCTCCTGCGCGGTCGGGGGCTTTGCTGTGTTGATCCTTGCTCAAACTCTATTTTTGTTCATATAAAGCCCAAGAGATTAAAAACATTGTTTTCATTAAGGTTCCAAGGGGAGTATAGTGAAGCTGCAGAATCGATGCACATGTGACTACGACTGGACTCAAGGAATAAGCTGCTGAAGCATGCCCAGCAGTACTCACAGCCCGCTCCCGAGCGCCAATGAGGATCTCAAAGGATCATGCCAGGTAAGGGTCCTTCTGAATTGATGGTGTAGCACATGTACGCCACCTTCTGTGGCCCTAAACCCTAAGCCCTAAGCCCTAAACCCTAAACCCTAACCCTACACCATGTCAGCCTTGGACCAGGTACCATGGGGCCGTGCACCCTTTGCTCTTCGCCCCCCGAGCTGCGTGCTGCAGCTGGGTTCCACCAGCCTCTGTCCAAGGCTTCGTGTTTTGTTTGGCAAATAGGTATAAGGGTTTAGGGTTTAGGGTATGTGTATTTCTGTGCTGGCACTTTTTTTTGTCCGAAGAGCATGAGTGTTCGCAGGACGTGAGGCCAGAGTGAGATGCCGGAATGCCTGGCATTTCCTGTAGGCCGTAGACTTCATGACCCTTCTTGGGGAGTTTCGGCTTCGTTCTGAAGCGGCGCCGCAAAAAGCTGGCTGCCCAGATCTTTGAGCAAATGTCTCTGCGGACTTGTGGAGTTGAAAAGATTTGAGAAGCTCTCAGCAGGCATCCTTTGCTTTCACACCTCCGTTGCGAGAACCCGAAAATCGCACAAAGTCGCCTGGATTGCGCCATTGCCCCGTCACCCTGTCTTGTGAGTGCGAGATGGCACCCATGGCAAGTTAACTCGGTATGGTTCTAGCACAGAACCAAGGCCAAGGTATCTTTACAGGTGAGATCCGAGGTATGATCTGGTAGCCCAAACTGAAACCAACAGTCGATGCACATGGGGCTTGTTCTTGCTTGGAGCAGGCTGCGTTAAGCTATCCCGAGTGTAGAGCAACCTCCGGCAGGCTGTTACCGAGTACTTGCGGGAAAACACCGCCAAGTTTCTGGTCCGAAGCGCGAAGGACGAACCATCGGTAAGGTCTAACACCGCACGTTGCTCACAATTAGTCTGGTTCTGATTTCAGATAACACGCGTCAAGCATCTTCGGTGCAGGGTGCAGGTCGCTGTAGCCTCCAATGTGCAGCCCAAAACAACTCGAGGAGCGCGGATCGCGAGACAACATCCTCGTGCTTGCCATCTTCTTTTAATTTTCTGGGGCAGGGCAGGGCAGGGTCCAGCCTCAGGGTGGCGAGGAGCATCTTGAGCACAGCATCCCTACAGATTTCTTCTTGCCCTGGGTTTCAAGGACAACCCAGAATTAGTTGCACTCCGCACATCTCTGGCCGGGCGGAAGGTGGCTCTTCAGGTGATCAGGTGTCATGCACAAATGCTGGTGGTGGTTGCTAGAGCCCGGACCATGTGCATGCACAAAAACGTCTCAGCTCCCGAAGGGCAGCTGAGTAAATCTGTAGTTTTACGAATATCCCAGTACGCGTGTGCTTGAAAGGCATGCCAACAATGACTGGGATATGGGTATTTCCCAAAATAGGGGTACCCCCCTTTTATACCCCAAATAGAATAGAATCCGCTCAAAGGGATCCCCAAAAAGGGTACCCCTATTTTCGGGAATCCCCGATATGTAGCTCGCCAACAGGTCACTGAAAGCAACTTTGGTGCTGTGATTGCTAGGTTGCGTAAGTCCCTGCCTCGACATGCCTCCATTGGCGTTCCGACAACCCTGTTTGGGGTTTAGGGTTTAGGGTTTAGGGTTTAGGGTTTAGGGTTTAGGGTTTAGGGTATAGGGTATAGGGTATAGGGTTTGGGGCCCGAAGCAAAACACCACCTAACACAAGCCTCAGATGCAACTGATGAGTTCCCACGAGCTCTATCTATGCGGCAGGACTCACGCAAAGGATGGTTGACGGAGCTCATGCAAGCTCATGCAACAGTATCTCCGCGTGTCTTCCCAGATGCCCAGGGCCAGGAAGTGCACCCAGCATGTGGGAACAGGCCACTTTCCCTGCATGGGAGACAATGGTCTCGCCAGCAACTACGATGATTCCTCTATATAGATGATGCTAAATGTTTAAAAGAATATGACGTGTATGTATGTGTGTATATATATATATGTGTATCACTACTTAGCAGTGTTGCACTGGTGCTTCGTTAGCGCTTTCTAATTACTTCTCCGTGGGAAATCATGAAGCCGCTGAGGTTTGCCCGACATAGAGACAGAAAAAGAGACATGTGCAATTGGCTATGACATTTGCCTTGGCGGCTGAGGACTACTCGTTGTCGAACGCGTTGTAGCCCCTCTTCCCAAGATTGAAAACACGCCCCTTCATCCTTTGGGTTGGAAGACGTTTCGTAGTTTTAAACGATGGGGGTAATCTAGGTATCCTTTTCGTTCTTTAGTTGCGGTACTCTGAGTCGACGTAGTTGGATTCACGCAGACCTGGGCAAATATGATGGTGTTAATGGGCGGGGCCCTTTAAATTTTGGGAGGAGGGGATTACAACTTGTCAATGTGACGGATGCATCTAGGCCACTTGTGCCGGAGCGCAGAAAAGATTGCGATGACGTTGTGAGCCTGCTGTGCCACCACGAAGTCCGCAGGTGACACAATATTGTTTGCACAAGGATGGTGCCGGTGTGATCAAAGCATGGGAATGTTGACTGGAGGGCAGCAAGAATCAGGCTTCGCGACCATACAGATTGGGAGCGAAACGCAAGGGAGAATTGCACGGTGTCATTGGAGTATTGGAGTAATAACCCCTAAACCCCAAACCCTAAACCCTAAACCCTAACCAGAAACCCTGATGTGATGATGAGCCAGCCCGACGCAGGAAACACAGCGGGGCGCCTCTTTGATGCAATGGTGAAGGGGCCTCTTGGCTGCAGAGGGTTTAGGGTTTAGGGTTTAGGGTTTAGGGTTTAGGGTTTAGGGTTTAGGGTTTAGGGTTTAGGGTTTAGGGTTTAGGGTACTGAAATCGTGGCAGCTGTCGGTCGACTCGGTCTTCTTGCTCCACTGTAAGGATGCATTCTCCTTGCCCTAAACCCTAAACCCTAAACCCTAAACCCTTGGAAGAATGAGGTGCATCCCTGTTCTCTTGTTCCATCCCGACTCCTATCCGGCTCGGGGACCCTGGCCTGACTTTGAAGAGAACAGAGTTCGCATCGTTTTGAACACCACCATGCCCCTGCTGTGCTGTGATGTTATATGACCTTTAGGTGCTGCCGTTCTTATCCCAGATACCCTGGGACGAGTTTGCGCTGGCATCGAACTCAGACATTGCCCAGCAAGTTGCCGGCTTCAGGTTCCAACGTTGCACAAAGCCGACCTGTTGAGCCCACCGCGCCCAATGTCTTGCCGTGCTTCTCACGTAGAGTGTAGCCCTAAACCCTCAACCCTAAACCCTAACCCTAACCCCAAACTAGAGGGTGTGGTGTCGCCACGAGTCACGGGTGTGCGGCTGGCGCTGCATCATGATCTCTTCGAAGGCAGCACTTCGCAGCATTTGCCGTCTGCAGTCTGCAGCACTTGCTGCCATCGACTTGGTCGGCCACGGGTTCGTTTTGCTTCCACTTGCACGTGTCCACCTGGTGGATTTGTCATGCGACGCAATAAGAGTCCCCTCATGTTTGTCGATGTGGTTGCCATAGGTTTCAGTTCCAATATGTTCCAATCTTGTGATGTTTCACACTCAGCTTGGCATTGGTGCCATGCAGATTCATGCTGCTTTGCATCTTCGAATCTGTGCTGCGGCAAGGTATTCTCCATACAAAGTGAGGTCTGGGGCCCGATGAATCCCAACATCGGTTCCAGCGACATGTGCTGTCCACCAGCGTAGGGCCAATTTTAGATGACATCTCATCATCTTCGCCGGAGTCTGCTTCCAAGGACGATGCGGCCACAGCCCTCCACTCGCTCCTTGCAACCTCCGAGGAGGAGCGGCAGATGCGGCGGAAGAGGACTGGGTGCGGCGGGAAGCTTGCCTAGTCTTCGCTGGTTGGGGGGCGTGGGAAAAAAGCTTCACGGATGCTGAGTCTGTGCTAATTATGCCACGCTCGAGCATTTCCCAAAGGACGCTCCAGTATGCGCCGATGATTTCCTTGGCGCTGCAGAACTGTCCAGAGCAGGCGCGTGGAATCTCCGAGGCTTGACCTACTCCTTACGCAGCTTCTTGCAGATACGGTCTGCGTTGGACATGGTGTCCAAGGAGCTGGAGGACAAGGCACTTCTCTCCATCTTCCTGAAAAGCAGCTTGCTGAGTCCCCATGTCCGCTTGCAGCTTTGAGGGATCCCCCCCTACCCTAAACCCCAAACCCTAAATCGTGGATCTTTTGCAAGCCAGGTCCAGCTTCTCAACTTTGCCTTGGCAGGCTCCGGTCGTCTGGGCACACAAGATTTCACAGCCATTCTATAACCTGCCTAGTGCATTACCCTAAACCCTAAACCCTAAACCCTAAACCCTAAACCCTAAACCCTAAACCCTTGGTGACGATGAATTGCAAGGCGTTCGCGTAGCGCCTCCTCCTTCCAACGAGCGGCTGCCTCAATCGCCACAAAGAGGGTGTAAGATGACGAGAATGAGGGAGCGGGCTCTGTCCCATATCCTCCTTGGGAGTTTATTATTATTATTATTATTATTATTATTATTTTTTTTTGTTTGCTTAAAGCCCAAGAGGATATTGAAAATATTATTTCTATTAAGGTTCTAAGGGGTGTAGCGTTTCATGTGGCCTCGTTTCTCAAA